CGTCAGTCGGGGTAGCATATGGCCATGATGAATCTCGACCTGTGAAGCAGGGGCGGAGATAGCCAGGCTCGTCCTCGATACTCGCGAGACCGGGTCGGGTACGATTGCTTGTCATAGAGTGTGATGGTGCCAATGTTGAATAAGGAAGGCCGTTGTTTGGCAGCGCCAATGTTGACAACAACGAATAATAGTCAAGCAGCCCCAACTTATTCCAGGCTTTAATGAGGGGGAAATATAGGTAGGTTCTTCTAGGCTTCCCATCACCAATGTTTCGCAGCGAGGCACGGTATCTGGGCCTATGCCTGTCTGGTCTCGGTTGCCACGGATTCGATGTCCTGGAGTCATGCACGCACTTTACGCCACGTACCGCATGGGGACCTTTGCAGAGGCCGTGAGCAAACGTAGCCGCGGTTGCGGGTCACTCTCGGATGCCCCTCGATCTTGCGAGCACAAAGATGTTGACTCTTCGGCCAGCAGATTCACCATTACAAGAACGGTCTAACGGTGGTCGACGGAAGAGCAGATTGTATCGCCGTGCAACTTTGGCGTGACGAGAGTTGTGACTTGTGGATGGTGGAGCAGTGGGCAGCAAATGCACGCAGGCATGTCGATAGTTGAGAGGGAGGGGCTGGCTGATAACTGAACCGGCCGGAGCGTGTCCGGTTCCCTGTCTTATGGGGCAGATGGCACAGTGAGAAAAAGCGTGTTTGCCTGCTGTTGTCTTGTCCCATGAGGGTCGATTTGGTCGAGTACGTCTTTCTTTTTCCCTTTGGCTCAAAGTCGTGATGGCTGCTACCCTTCGCCTCTTCTCCTCCACCGCGTCGCGAACTGCATCTGTGGTTGGCTGGTGGAGGTGAGGACAGGGCTCCATTGGCGCATCCTTGGACGGGAGACAGGGATCTAGACGCTAGAAGATGGTGCTTGGAGATGCGGCGGCGAGTGCGCTGTGCGTTTGTGCACCGGGGGTTGCTGGAGAGAAGACGGGATCAGATCAAGAACAACTTTCCGTAGGGATGTCGAAGACCAGAACAGCCTGTGCTGGGCCATTGAACGCTTCCATCGTCGCAGCCCATGCTCAATCTGTTCTTGTCGAACGTCGTTGGTGCGGAATGGTGTTTCTTTAGCTTTTTCGAATGCGATCAGATCTTGGCCGACTGCCTGGAATGTGTGGATCATGCTTTGGGGCTTGTTTGGGGTGTTGAACTGGAGCCCGCCAACGCTGTTCGCCAACGACTGCCACGAGGCAACGAAGCAGTATGGCAAGGCGATGCATTGCCAGGGCACGCAAGCCTGCGGGAGACGGAGAGGCCACCGAAATATACACTCGAAGCGAAGACGTGTATCCGCGGCGTAAAGTTTGCGAGAAACAAGGGTTCTCTCCCATTCGCAGCCCCATCGTGTATGTGCTTCTTTGACGCTTCTGACGTATTGCAGCGTGGGACAGATATGGGATTTCTGGGAAGTCAGTGTGGTCACTGGGGCGTCGTCGCGCACGGCAAGGTACAACGGGTACCTCATTACGCAGCACCGGCGCCGTCAGGGCTCGCCTTTGTCAGCACTCAGCAGCTGAACCCGACGTGAGGGATGCCAGTCTGGCTGCCCAGTGCCTCCGCTGTAATGCCTGTCGTGGAGCGGTAGCACTGGGGCCGGTTGACGGTTGGCGGGGACCCAACCGTCCATCCATCACAGAGGGATCCATCACCCATCCATTCTTCCGCCCATCCATCCACTCAGTTTCGTCAGTCAAGTCTTCGTGTTCAGACCAGACCGGACTGGATCAGGCCAGGCGAGGCCAAGCAGTCCAACCTACGGTGGTAGACAAACGTGAGATTGTTCACACCAGTCGGCGGTGCGTGCTCCCGTTGCATGATGGAACAGTCTGCACATAGGCAGAGGCAATAGGCGATTGCTGAGTGGTGAAAGGCAGGGCGCGAGGTGACTCCGGGAGAGACGACCGTCCAGGCCAGCGGGACGCTAAGCCCATACGGACGATTGTCGGGGAGGAAGATTGGCAGGCGTGAGGTTGGGGTGGAGGGCAGTCTGCAAAGCGACCCGCTGAGTGCGTAAAGTGGGTGAGGAGGAACTCAAGAAAGGCCTTGGACTGGCGACGGCGATTGGGAGCCGTCCCCGGCCGGCGGTTTGGCGTGTCTTGATTTCGCGAACGTGACAAGGCTTGGGGCCCTTGAACAAAGTCGGAAGGTAAAGTATCCGTAGAGCAGAGAGGGCCCCGGGTGCTCCACGATTGGGGTTTCCACTGCTGGGGACGGTCGATTTTTGGAGATGGTGACCGCCGTGACACTAGACGGGGCATCGTGTGAAGTGTGAGACATTTAGGCGTGAGGCATGCCATGCTTCTCTGCCAAAGGCACAGAGCGTCAGAGGGAGGTTGAGGCCAGGATGCCACGGTGAGAATCCCTCAAGCTCGGGTCGTGGGACGGGGCAAAGGCTGATGATGGTGAGGCGGTTCTGGCTTTGACTGGTGGTGTGTTTTCGGGATGGAAAGGGAAAGCGCGCTGCAGTGACGTTCGGTTCGAGTCGAGGGCGCTGCTGGACGATGGCCGTTGCGGGGATGTGTGTCGGGGAGCATATCAGCACGGTGTAGTTGTACAGGGAAGCCGGGTACGTCACAGTGCCCCGGATACCTCCAAACTGTCCTGTCAGCCACAGTGCCTAACGCAGCCAGAATCCGGCCAAGCGGACTGCACCAGTGCCGCTTCCTTCGTGCGTCTTCCCGGCGGTCCTCTGCTAGCGCAGCTGCCATGCCACTGGACTGGCCGCCCTTCTCGATGCTTTCCCTCCGTGGATAGCGGAATTGGATGTCTTTTGTCACCGGCTCCCACGGGGGACAAACACGCAGGCAGTGGTTGTGAAAAAGGAGACAAGACAGCGGACTGATTCGAGTCCTGAAAACGGTCAGAAACACGGCGACCCCCAAAAGGAAGGACCCAGGTACGGATCCCAGGCATCTACACGTGTAAGGGAAAATACGACGCAGCAAATGGCCAAAAATGAACTGCAGGCTGGCATCACTGACAGGGCTTACGAACCTGGTCCCCGCCGGAACTACAGTGGAGGGGAGGCTAAAGCACGGAAACACTTCCCTCGGAGGCACCCAAAACACCAGAGGCACTGTAGCTGCAGCTCCAGCAATTTGGAAGTGAGAAACCCGACATGAACGCGACAACGGAACGCCTCAACCTTCTCGCTTAGCCCTCGGGGGCCCGTACCGTATGGGGCTCACTGCGCCTGTATCCAAATGACCAAATCACACTGGAAGCCCCTCAGTATTCGTACATAGATTTCACTGACGAGTCTTCCTCACTGATGGATGGGTGATGGATGAGGTGCCTCTGATGCACTGCGCTGCACTGCGCGCTGCACCGCTCCCGCTGCGTCAGGAACTTTCCCTCCTGGCGCTCGGGCCCGATACTTATCGGCTGGTCGAATCTGCAGCCAGAGAGAAGTACCTGCCTTAGGTAAGGTACGTCGAATGTCAGTACCTCTCGGTTTCTGCGTTGCATTGCCGTGCCTTGCGCCTGCCCTGGGCTGCCCAGGTTGCCGCCTCTTCACCTCAGGCAAACGCCAAAGACCGGGCAGACTGCGCCAGCACCAGCACTAGGTAGAACCACTGAACCAGCGCGACCTTGCACCCACCTTCGTCGGCGATATCGACTCTACGTGATTTTATGCCGTTCATCTTCATAGACTCCAAGACACGGACTCGACTCAAAATTAAACAAGTACTTTCCTTGATTCGTGACCATCCATTGCCTTCCAGCTTCGGACCTCGAGTGGGCTTTACTGGACCCGTGAAATAACGAAATTTATTTCCCTCGGACCTTTTGGTCTGCTTTGGATCTTCGTCCACCCTCGACATCCCCCAAAGAAGACGCCGGCTCGCACATCCACCAACACCAAGACCGGCACCTCGCAGCGACACCAAAAACCTCATCACCGCAAAGTACCTTTTGCTCGCGCTCACCTCATCCTCCCTCCCCTTCGTCCACTTCCACTTCCAATCCCGCTTCCATACGCACACACACACACACACGGCGGTACACCTCCTTCGCGTCCGCAGGTCCACGCCAACGCCAGCGCCGACTCCCACGCCCTCGTCTTTTGGTCCTCCAGTCGTCGCCCATACTCGTGGGCGCAGACAACCAATCCAACCGTACCCACATTTGGTCGCCTCCTCCCGTCAGGGCCCTCCGCCAACCTACACCCACGGTCCACGGACAAGCCAGCTACCGGCCGCCATCCCTCGGAACCTCGTCACTTTTGACCACAACGACCGCAGACTGCTTGTTTTTCTCTCAGCTCTTGCCTCCTTCCTCTCCATTCTTCCTTCATCCACCTTTGTCTCTCTCACCATCCTCGACGATACCATCGTTTGCTTCGATGTAGCACGTCACTTTCCTCCGAACCGAATACCCTCGATACCACCAAAACTCAACGTTACCTTTCGACCTGCACCCTACTAGCCACAGGTCGTGCACGACTCGGGAAACATAGGCCGAAGACCCTTGGAGCCCTTTCCTGGCTTAGCGGTACCGCAGCAGACGCAGACGCAGACGCCGACCCCCCAGCAGAGACGCACGCTGCTCTTTGCCAAGCACCCGGTAGTGTCCTCTCAGCCAGTCTCCGCAGGCTCAGTACTCTACCCCCAAGAAACCCCAATAACCAGGGCACTGTGATGAGCACTGCTCACTGAGTCCCTCCATCGTCCGCTTTCTTTCATCCCCCAAAAATTGCCTTGGGCGACCAGAACAGCCTCCACTATTTGGATTTGAGAGAGTCCCCCCAGCCCGGGCACGTACCAAGCACCCAGCGCCCAGCACCAACACCCACCCACACACACACCCGCGGCAACAGAGAAGGCACTGCGTGCGAAACACCACCCTCTCTCTCTTGCCTTTCCCTCGACCGTCAACCTTCTTTCCTCGCCCATCGCTCCTTCCCCTAGGTCAATCTCACGACACCGGGACCACCAAAGGAGAAACATGTCGACTCCGACTACGGCTACAGCGACATTACCTCCTCACTCGCACTACCACCATCCTCATTATCCGTATTCTCACCAGCCGTACCAGGCGTCAACCGCTACGGGCTCTTCGTACCGTCAGCCGGCGAACCCAATCCTCCCCACTTCCTCCTCGACGGCGACGACGAGGTTGCCTCCTGCCTACACCAGCCATTCCGGCGTCTCCTACACGACCTCCTCGTCTGCGAGTCACGCCGGCTCAAATGGCCTAGGTCTGTCAGCCTCGTCTGCTACTTCGAGGATCAACTACGACGCTTCGAGTCCCGACGCCAACTACTCGGTCACAGCAATGCCTACCACACACGCCCAATCCTCCCAGTCCTCCTCCGGTCGCAAACGAAGACGATCCCAGGGACCCGACTGGAACAAGTTTTATCAAAATGGTCTGCCCAAAGAGGTGATCGTCATTGACGATACCCCCGAACCGGAGCAGGGCAAGGCGACCGGCAACGGTGTAAGGGTCGTCTCTAACGGCAGCGTCAATGGCATCACCACCAACGGTGCATCCAGCACACGTCCTGTTCCTAAGAAGCGAAAGCGAGACGACGAGCCCCAGCCGTACGATCCTGTTTACCACAATAAATACGCTGGGTCTCACACAACCACTCCCCATCACAACGGAACCCCGAGTGGCTCTACCATTTCCACCGACCGGACGACGACCTCCGCCATTCACACAACCGCTGCCACCTCCTTGTCCTCAAACGGCCAGGAGTACTACGACGCTCAACCAGGACAGAAGAGAAAGCGAACTCGACAGCAGATTGCTCAAGAGGCAAAGAAGCGCGAGGTTGAGCTCTCGGACCCATTTTCCAGTTACAAGCCTCCTCCCTACCCTCCCAAGAAGGCCCAGGAAGTGCACGTTAAGGTCGTGCATGACGTGAGTGACTGCTGCCCCCCAACCATGACCACACACGGTGCTAACCTGAACACAGCATGCCTACAACAAAAATGCAAAGGTCGACGACGACGACGGTCACTACATCGTGGTTCCCGATGCAGACCTGACCGACAGATGTAAGACTTTTTCTGGCCACTTTATTGAATCTGCCACTAACATCGTGTGTAGACCAAATGGTGAAACTGCTCGGCCAGGGCACCTTCGGCAAGGTCGTGCAAGCCCGAGACAGAAAGAGGAACAAGGCTGTCGCCATCAAGATCATTCGCTCAGTGCAAAAGTACCGAGATGCTTCGCGCATAGAACTCCGAGTCTTGGAAACACTGCGGCAAAATGATGGCGACAACCGCAATCGTTGCATCCACCTGAAGGATTGCTTCGACTACCGCGGCCACATCTGCATCGTCATGGATCTGCTGGGACAGAGCGTCTTTGACTTCCTCAAGAGCAACAGCTTTGTGCCCTTCCCTAACAGTCAGATCCAAAGCTTCGCTCGGCAGCTCTTTACCAGCGTTGCATGTGAGTATATTCCTACCGTTCAACAGCCACGGAGCCAGTTGCTGATCTGTTTCCAGTCCTTCATGATCTCAACCTTATTCACACCGACCTGAAGCCTGAGAACATCCTTCTGTGTGACAGCGCTTATCAGACATTCACGTACAACCGAAAGATACCATCATCATCCCAGACTGTCAACCGCCAGGCCAACCAGCGAAGGGTGTTGCTCGACACTGAGATTAGATTGATCGACTTCGGCTCAGCCACCTTCCAGGACGAATACCACAGCTCGGTGGTCTCGACACGACATTATCGGGCGCCCGAGATCATCCTAGGCCTTGGGTGGTCGTTCCCCTGCGACATCTGGAGCATTGGCTGCATCCTTGTGGAATTCTTCACCGGCGACGCTCTCTTCCAGACGCACGATAATCTCGAGCATCTGGCAATGATGGAGATGGTTGTCGGCCACAGAATCGACAGCAGCCTCGTCCAGGTGGTCAACAAGATGGCTACCAGGAGTGGTGGAAATCCTGCTTCCAAGTAGGTCTGCAACATCGTCGACGTCGAACGCTCGCTAACCTCCCCGTCTTTAGGTACTTCAAAAGACTCAAGCTCGACTACCCCACAGCAGAGACAACACGTGCATCCAAGAGATTTGTAAAGGCGATGAAGCGTCTCGAGGTTGGACAACCCCTTCTACACCAGATTCGACAACGGCAGACTAACACGAACCAGGACATCATCCCATCGAACACTACTTACTTTAAGAACTTCTTGGATCTTCTGCGGAAGATCTTCGTCTACGATCCCCAACACCGCATTACCGCGAAGCAGGCGCTACAGCATCCCTGGTTCAAGGAGCCAGCAACGCCGGACGATGGCACCGAGGCTGCCAAGATTCGACTGGAGCGGATGAGATCGGACGATTCTCACAGGATACACGCATGATTTTCCTTGGGTATACACAGCTTCTTTCAAACCCTTACGTCTATAACGAACAAAGTCGAGCATGATATGGGAGTTGGCCGGTTTGATATCAGGTCTGTACGATGTGGGATGGACCAGGGATTCGGCGCTCGTGCAACTTGATTTATCGGCATCGGCCTCGATCGGAAGAGGCCGGCCTCGTCCTGCCTCTAGTGGCAGGCTTGATGGAACATGGGGCATGGGGGAGACTTTTATTATTTTTGGGTTGGATAGGGGTCCACGCTCGAAACAACACGATTGAGTAAATCAGGAGCGGCCGACCCGTGCGCGGATTAAGCGTTGCTTAGTAGAGAGGTCTCATGAGTGAGCGTGCCTCATCGCCAGGCCCAATAGAGCGATTCTCCTCACCACGGCAGTCTTGCACGGCTCGCCACTTTGCTGGTTCTATCTCGGTTTGACACTAGGAATTGCTTGACGGCAGATAGCATTTCGGTGCCGATATTGTGTGGTCTTCATTTCGTAAGTTGCGCATTTGGGATCCCGTCTCCATTTTAGGTTCGTTGCTTACGTCTTTCTAGATCCACCTTGGTTGTTGCATGATTCGTTTTTCCTTTGATATACGCTGCTGCATGCCGACCGCCAAACCGGGCACACGTGACAATTTGCAGATGTCGCAGAGGCGACCAACTCTCGGCCCAAGGCAGTCCAAAAGATGAAGTTCATGTGTGCGACGCGGCCTGAATCCCGGCCACGGCCGATCTTTGTGGGCCCAGAGTCCTTCTCCCGGTCATCTTCTCGGCTGTGTTTGAATAATGATCTTAACCAACAAAGATTATTGGTAATGGTGTTTGGTTCTTACTTCATTCAACAGGGTCGTTCTTTCTTCTGAAGCTCGTGGCTCTTTGTTCAACGACACAACTTACCAGATTGTTCTCATTGTCGACGATCAAGGAAGCGTTCGGCACGAGGCTTCTTAGTACCAGGTGTTTCCACCGAGGACGAATGTTCGTACAGCGGCCGTTATAGCTTTAAAGGGTCTGTCCCCGGCATGAAGACACCCTAAATCAGTCTGGTATAAACACAGAATTACCAACGAGACCGCCTCCTATATCGCCGTTCCTTGAACGAGTCAATTTTCGAGAACACAGCAGAGATCTTGCCATCTGAACAACAGACTTCCACCAACATGTCAATCACTCTCATTGATGAGCTGACAGACAGCAGCATCAAAAAGCTTGCGCGTTATCTCTACTTGCCGCCAAATTACAGCATCGCCAATCCACCGGATGAATGGTTCAGAGAGCAAGAGGCAAAGCTCAGTCAGCTTCCAAAGGTGATGCTACGTCCCAAGACGAACTCACTGAATGTGATAGATATGATGAAGCGCGGACTCATGAACGTTACCGCTAGGCAGTCGCTTCCCTTCGTCCCAGACGCAGCGATGCTCTGCCACACACACAAGGCCCTGAACCCTTGGCGCATGCGCTGCCTCTTCGCTCTGCTTGCTTCCGAAGTTACAGACAAATTTGAGCGGATGCGCCGGTTGGTCCGAAACAGGTCTGATCTCGCCCAAGAACCTGACTACCAGGAGTATGTCCGTCGCGTCACCAGCATCCAGGGTCTGTGGATGGACCGCGCCACGTTCGAGCAGTTGTACGGTTACCCGCCTGCCAAGACGGAAAGGGTGCGATCGCAGTGCGAGGCGTGCATGTGTGCCGTCGTCGGCGGCGATACGCGTCTGCTGGTTGACCTCCGCGCGCATCTGCTCTCTCGTGCTGGTTCATACCAGCCGGTCTTCCTTCGTGTGGTCAACGCCTGGATTGATGCCTTTGAGCAGGGTGCCGGTGGCCTTCATGCTGAGAGCGCGGTGCTCGGAGAGAACCTGCGCGCAATCCGTCGCGAGATTGGTGTCCGGCGATATGAACGTCGAGAGCGTGCCCGACGAGCTGGGAAGAGTATTCCATATTCCAAGGCAAAGCGCGATGATAACTCGAGTGCGAGTCTTCCGCCGAAGACCGAATGGGGCTCATCTGGACGGCCCTCGACGGCGTCAGGACCGGCCAGGGGCTATGATAGCCGACACGCACAGCATACTCCGGAGACGTCACACCCGCGGCCCAACCACTCCTCGCGCGTATCCGGCAACACTCAGAGTCCCCGCCAGAACCCATTCGAAGACGATTTTGAAGATGACGAAGTGAACGAGGGCGACGAGACTAACGCAGGAAACGCGTTTTGGCAAGACGAGATGAATAACTACTATGAGCGTCAGGCTGCGCAAAACGGTGGACGATCGTTCGATAGAGCATCAATACACCCCGGACTCTTCGGACGCGAGTCTCGCGAGGTTCTTCAGCACGCTCCTGAGCCGTCGCAGTCGAGAAAAGCGACAACTCTTCCTCAGCAGACCTCTGCCTCGGCCACGCCAAGAGACAGTGCACGCAACTCTAGGCATTCAGCCCACGCACCACCCCCGACGTCCAGCTCGAGACACCAATCCGATGCCGCTCGACACTCTTACCCCAGAGATGCTTCAGAGAGAACGTCTGTACGCAACCCCGATCAGTCTGCCCGTCCACCACCTACACCATCCCAAGATACACGCGTGCCGAGAATCCCCACCACCTACCATTCCGCCGACTACCGACCAGGCGATATCCGTAGACCAACCACCCCATCTGTCGGCACCTCCGAGCACCAAAAGCAAACCAGACTGAGCGCCACTCGCATGGAAACCCTGGGACAGAATGCCGTTCCCCAGCAGGCGCCGTCCCTCCATCGTCGGCCTTCGACGACGTCAACATCCTCGGTCCCGGCCTCGATGGTCCAGCGAGAATCCCGGGCTCGTGCGGAACTTCAGGAGATTGCGAATGCCCTCGGAAGAGACAACAATCGGGTTCATGGCAGTAGCAGCTCGGCAAGTCCAGCAAACCAAAGATCCGCCCGCAGTACTAACCATTCCAGCACCCGCGCAAGCGAAGCAGTGAGTTCACCCTCTTCCCGTCCCGTGAATAACCCCGTGACACAGGACGTAACAGCGGCAGGAGTCAACCGGCCTCCGGCGCCCGTTCCGACTGTTCGCAAGCCTCAGGAAGCGGTGAGCGGCGCGGCCAGCACGGCGCGTAAAGCATGGGAGGCTAAATTTGCAGCGGAGAGCTTGAACGGTTCCAGCAGTGGTTCCAGAGGCGGTCACGGATCGGGAAGTAGAAGCAGCTGGTCGTCCACGGTAGAGTCCCGCCGCACTTCTGTTTCTCATCCGCCAACAGTGTCTTCTGGACAGTCTAGACGTGAAGATGCGGTGTCTTCCTCGTCGACGCCCCCCTCGGAACATGCCCGTCCGCCTCCGGCGAATCAAGATCATATCTGGAGCCAGATCATGGGCGGCTTCCGGAACGGGCATGATAGGTATGCCGATGATGCCCAGACTGTGATATATGGGGATTCGCAGCGGTAGGTTATCTCATCAATCGTGTACGATTTGCGCATTTTGTTTGATAGGATTAGCACAGCGGCGAGCACTATGGTAGGTCTACGAGAGTGCACGTCTTCTGTTTCACATTTTTAGACATCTCTACTCTCCGTTTTGTCACTGGCATCGGAGACTGAAAACAAAAACTTTTGAGCTATCTACCTAGAGACCAGTGACATTCCAAGGTTTTCTAAGGTCCGGATCTGTCGGCCACCCATACTGGCATTGAGGAGTCCCAACCTTTGCACGAAGGAGCAAAACCAAGCTTCCCATGACCAGCAAACCCTTCCCTTCTCCCCAGACGGTCATTGATCCGGTCCAATTCCACAACTCTGGCAACGTTACGTCTTCCCTCGGGTACTCTGACAAATATTATGAGGCTCAAGACACGGACTGAAAAACTTGAAAAGGAAAAGGCAGAGGAGAAAGATTCGGAGGCGGCTCTCTCGAACAGTTGCGTGGCTCTGATGATTGAAATCTTCAGACAATGCACTTCGCGGTACTCCGGGGCCTCTCGATTGCTTGCGGTAGAGGGTTTGCCCCCGCAACCCGTGCCATTCTTGTGATAGAGATTCGTTGACTCGGCGTCAGCAAACTCATTCGTTATTGCACATTCTTGTTGTCATTCTTGTGGCCACCGTTCACGGGTGACGCTGCGACAAAGTCAGTAAGTTGCGACCACAATAAGCGAAGAAAATCTTACATCTGTGACGTTGCGAACTCTCAGCGTGAGCTGCGTCGTAGACCTCTCATAGCCTCAAGTAGACGCATTCTAGACGTTCTAGTATGTATCATCACTCTCGTAGTCGGGGCCGTTGGGGAACTCGACTCGCGGGCAGGAGTCCGCAACCTTGACGGGCGAGTGAGGCTTGCCAGGGTAGTCATAAGAGCACTCAGATTCGGCGTAGAATGTGCGTCCGTTGCCGGCGTTCTTAGCCCAGTGTACCCAGACAGCTTGATCGTACCAGTCGATACCATTCGGCTTCTCGACCTTGTAGACCTGGTTGAGCATTCCAGAGGGTTCAAACTGGAACGACTTCATGAATTTGCTCATCCACTGATGCTTGTCGTCCTTGCCTTGGACCATAGCATGCATGACAATGCCTGCCGTTTGTTAGTTGGGTGACATCCAGCAGACATATGAGAAACTCACGGTGAATAGGCTTGAAGTCGGGCCGATGGAATCCATCATCAACAGCGTCGGGGTCACGCCACTCGTACTGAGCATGACCGTGAAACATCAAAGATGTCTGAGAAAGCAGTCGGTGGAGCAAGGCGCTGCCAACACCGTTGCGGCGATGATCAGGGTGAACAAAAACAACCACCTTCGCGGTGTCTGCAGCGGCGCCCGTGGTCAAGCTAATACCCTTCTCATACGGAGCAAGGAACCCAAATCCGCAGATGGTCGCATTATCATTCTTGGGCTGGTTCTCCAGCAGATGTTGGAACTGTTGCATATACTGGCGATGGGCAGCACGGGAGGGCCAGTTCTTGGGATCGCGGAGGTCGACGCTCGTCTGAGTTGCGACGACGAAGGGCAGCTTCTCCTGAA